TTGCTGACACCAGTACTGCTGCACTGCAGGATCCCTGGCACTGCATTTCAGAACGGAGCAAAACTATAACCATGTATTTCTACTTATCCCAGACATGGGCAGCAAAGAAACCACCCGCTCACCTGCAGCTCCCAACGGAGACATCCAGCTGGGTGTAGAGAATCCTGGGTAGTAACACAGTGTTTTCCAGATGTGCACTACCGTAGCTACCTATCCATGTGTGATACTGTGAACCTTTTTAATTTTTTGATCATGTATTTATTTCTTTTATCTTTGCACAGAGACAGCACAAATGTGCTTTTTTAAACATTTAGTTTACTGCACTTTTTTTTTTTTTTGGTTGTCATATATTTGTGCATCAGAAAGGAGTGTGAGACCTCACTGGAGAATTGGTAGGAACACGTTGCTGGGGAGGGCAGGGACCGGAGTGGCTTCATTTGAGGCAGCAGCGTGGTCTAACCAACTGATGGAGTCAGGAGGTTTAAGGCTGTCCAGACTCTGCCACGGTTTTGCCGAGTGACCTAAGGCAAGTCACTTAACCACTCTGTGCCTCGGTTTCCCCCGTGCTAATGGGTGTACAGTACCCACTTCCGTTAAAGCACTTAAACCCTGGGATGAAAGGTGCTATGTAAATGCAATGTATTAAAGGCCATTGAATAGAATTGCTCCCATGTTACAGTAGTCCAAAGTAGCCATGCCAATTTACTTGGATTCAAAAATTGCTAGTGACTTCTCTTGGTCTGTAACACTGTGTGGGGGAAGCAAACGATTCCTGGCGCCAGTGACGTGGTCACGTCGGCTCTCCTCCAGACGTCGCAATGGGTTCTGCCTTCACCATGTGCTGCGCTGCTGCGTCACCCCGTCCCTCTGTGCTTGGAGTCCACGCTTCATCTTACTGGCTGCAGTACCGACGCCTGCTCCAGACACACAGGCATGGACAGATGAGAACTGTGCACCTCCAGGGACCAGCCATGCTGGAGTGCGAGTTCCCCAGTCTGCCCAGCCCCAGGTGTGGCTTGTCCAGACACTACATCCTACTGGAGCCACTTAGCACCTTGCATGCTCATGGGTGTATCCGATGCCTGGTACTCGGGGGTCACGAACATTGGGTTCACATGTATCCTCTGTACCTCAGGGCAGTCAGGGAGGCATGTGCACGTCCGCACACACTGGAGGCAGAAACAGAAGCCTGGCTCTGCCACCTAATTGTGCCAGGCGGTGTTGTGTTCACGGACTCTGTTGGACAAAACGTTGGGTGACTGCGATGTTGCCTGTGGTAGCATCTGCTATTGGAAATCGCTGCTTTGGATGTCTGAGATGGTTTGCTTTTTGAGGGCTGCAGGCTTTATGTGAGAGGATTTGGTGTCACTGGGTGGTGTTCAGACTAGGCTCATCTATCTGTCAGCAGGACACACACCATAGCATTGTCTTGAACTGTAGCAATCCCATCCTCATCTCCCAGAGAGAAGAAAGGAAATCCTTGAGACCAGAGGGAGCCAGGTCTTATTCATGTGCTTTATGAGCCTCACTTGAGAAAGAGGGTCAAAATCTCTTTATTCTCATTACAATCTTAAGCCTGTCCTTGGGATTCCTTGTAGAGGAGTGGGGAAGCAGGACCCTTCTCTTGGGGCTCAGTCCCCCCAATCTGTCTTCACAGCAGCACTTGGGATGGGTTAATTTGGGTCCCAGAAGGTTAACTGGGCTGGTGGGAAGCTCTTCCCCTCCACAGTATGCTGAACCTGGTGAGGATCTTCATGCACTGATGTTTTCTTGCCTGGAAGTATGGGACCCAGACTTCCCCTACTTGCCTGCAGATGCTGAAGGCTGTAAGGTGTGCTGCTCTCAAGAGCACAGGCTGAGGATCTTGCAAGCTGCTGCCATTAGATGTATTCATGTATTTACCAAATAATCTATCAAAAGTTTTTCAAGAAACTCTCCCCTTTCAGTCACTACTTGACAGTTTGTTCACCCAGCTAGTGGCATTGCTCCATGACAGCCCCTGCAGTAGGCTGGGAAATGTCTCCTAACCCGCTCCATCTGCTTGTGCCAGTCCTGCCTGGGCTCCGCAGGCTGCGTGGGCAGTGCTACAGGGGCCTCAGTAGGTTGCTGGAGGGGAGACGGGAGGAGTGCAATACCTACAGACTAACCTGCCTCTGGGCTGAAAGCAAGAGGCTTCAAAATGCTAAAAATTCAGCCTTTTTTTTTTCTTTTTTTTTTTATTTCCCCCTCCAGAAGCATGATACCATGCATAGAGAGGCCAGAGGGAGCCTCATCCCTTCTGCACCTTCAGATGTTGCTCTTGGGAGGAACCTGGGAGGTTGGGCTCAGGCTGTCTGACCTGACGCCCAGCTGCCCTGGTACCACCTTGTTCATGGGCTGGTGGGTTTAGCCTCATTGGGACTTTCCAGCCAACTGAAATCAAGCATGTTGTTTAAGATGGTTTCAGCATCATTGATAGACACTTTATTCCTTCCCCTCATTTTTGGGGGTCTCTAAAGCTGCTTAGCCACTGTGCAGGGAGCATCTGAGCCCCACCTTTATGGAGTATCACAGTGAATGAACTTTGCAAGCTGGAGCTGCGCTTGGTCCCAAGAGATGTGGGGGAACCCCGACCTTTTGCAGCATGTTCATTCCAAGCATCATCTTTTCCTCAAGCATTTGGGCTTTTTGAGACAATCCTTGTGCAGTTCTGTAACGCTGAACCTTTTGGAGCGAGCAGGTCTGGACACAGAGGGTTGGTCCTGTGAGAGAACGTGCAAAGGAGCAACTTTGTCAACGTGACGGGACAGGAGGAACCTTCCTTTAGGGAGATGCTGATCTGAAATGGAAACTGCCCCTTTCCAGGCTCACACACAGTCTCTGCTGTATGTCACCTACTGTCCAGTTAGCTCGGTCCTGGAGAGCTGCTCAGCTTCCGCTTCCCATGGAGGCTAAAAGGACCTTGGAGTTTAAAGCTTACTCTTAGCCCACCTCTCTGCACTGCACTGCAGCATGAGAGCGTCGGGGAGCTCTGGAGTGTTTCCCAAGCGCTGTCAATGCTGCCTTTGCAGGACGCGCAGTCAGAGGAGGGCAGGACTAGGTCTTGCCCACAGGAAAGAGGATCGGCCCTTTTTTGTGGAAGAGAACCACCACCTGTCCTTGGTCTGAATGTCCCTCCACCTGTACTTCCAGCTCATCTGGGACATAAGTTGCCTGCACTTTTTCTGTCAGGGCTTTCTCTAGTGACCCAGCAGCAGCTCGCTGGCAGGTGCTGTCCCTGGTGTAACCCCCTGCTCTCTCCATCGTTAAAAGGAAGCACCGTGTTTCTTTTACTCCTCCAAGATTTGAGCAGAGCAGCCCTGCGAGACAGCTGGTTCCCATGTAGCTCTGTTTGCCACCACTCCCCGTCATCCCAGCTGGGACTCTCAGCTCTGTGGGACGTGCCCTGAGCATTGCCTGGTGCTGAGGCTGCTGGCGAGCTTTTGGCTCAGGCTCTTGCCAAACTGCAGGTGGCTGCTGCCTGCCAGGTATGGATTTGGTAAGAGAAAACTGGCGTGTATCTCTCTGTGCTCGCCATCGAGCTCCTGTAAAGGCTCTGCCCTTCGCAGGCAGGTGTAGAGCAGAGGCGTGGGGCAAACCAAGAAGCTGGGATAGAGAGCCCCGAATGCTCACCCAAGGGATCCAGCTTTTGGCCGCTGTTGCCTCTGCAGCGAGCGGCTCGGCCGCCTGTGCCACAGTTGCTCTTTGGGAAGTTTTTTAGTGAAGCTGGAGCGCTCATAGGTCATGGCACAGGGCTGGCACAGGCACAGCGGCCTTTGCATGGGCTCCATCACCCTGGGCTCCCCCAGCCCCGCACAGCCCGGCGTTCCCCCTTCTCTCGTTCCCACCACCCTGCGCCAGCCCTTTCCAAAAAGGGCAAGGAGAAGGCCATGGCTCGGGCGTACGGGATCATGTCTGATTTTTCGTTCTGTTGATGTCTACATTAGACCTAAGTATGTTCTATTGGATGTTCGTATTCCTGCTCATTTTCTGTGTCCGCTCTGTGCGTGCACCATGTAACGAATGTATGTAAGTAGGGGGGTGTCGGGGGGCTGGCGGCCGAAATGTGATGCCAACCCGTGGGTGTTGTCACGTTTCTCTTCTTTTGGGGGGGGGGAGGGGGTTAAGTCATGAGCGCTTTTGTTCTTTTTGTTCGTTGTTTTGAGGGTTCCCCCCCC